CAAATTGATCTAAATAACTTCTTTCATTGCTAAAGCAGAGCTTTCCAAATCATATGGATGCTTTAAGGGTCCATCTGCTAACTTCCGACCCCTGTTTCAATTAAAAATGGATCATGTCAAAAGAGCAGATCTAAAAGGATAATCATTCTCCAACAAGAAATACTTACCATTTCTTTTATTGTCGCGTCATTTCATCTGTCGTGCAACAACAATAATTGTCATATTTTTTGTTGTTTATAATGACTGCATTAAAGAAAATCCTTGATTCATAAAATTAACTGATAAAAATTTCGAACATTCTGTGTGTATTTCATGCTTTGTTCACCTTTCCCATGATCACTTTGGTATTCTTGGAAAAGTTCAAAATTGAAAGCTGTGAAGTTATAAAAATTCCAGAGCTCATTGAGTAAAGCTTGGTTTCTGCATTGATTCCTGAATATCAAAAACAAAAGACTGAATCCTTACATGTTCAGGAGATTCAGGATAAAACTCCTCTGTTTCTAATACACATTCAAGTTCTTGAGGTCACAGAAATATCACGACTATAAAGGATCCACTAAGACGATTTTGTGCACACAACAAAAAACTACTATCCAATCCAGCACATTAAGCTTCCGAATGTGAAGGCAATTGTGGACCAACTGATTGCAACTTTTCTAACCATGCAATCCTCGTGCTTGACTTCTTTAAGTTAAGAAAAATCTCCCTGTATTCCTGCTTCAGGAATATATCTAGAGCAAACAAGTAGAGTTCACCACCTTGTTCAAGTTCCTCAATTGTATCTAGGCACTTAATGCAATCTTCAATACTATAACTGGGCCTGGGTTGTGGAGATTGAATAGTCATAAAGCTCCTTGATTCAACAGCATCATAACAACGCTCTATGTTGCTATCAGGTATCGCAGTCACTCGCTCTATTGCATTATAACTCGTGTTCATTGAATCATCTTGATGCTTTGCAAAATGATTAGAAGCTCCTCTTTCAGTCAAGTAATTATGGTGCTTTTTTGGTCGAGTAGATGGCTGTGTTGTCAAAGTCGAACTATAGTTGTGCCTCCTACGTCTAAGAGGTCTTATTGTTCCTCCAGAACCTGCAGCTACACCAAAAATGATGTCTAATTTTTCAGCAAATAGAAGCTCCTTGAACCGAAATTGAGCAGCATCAGGATTTGCCTGTAATGAGAAACATCACTCCATTACCAAGCAGTATCAAACATACCTCTAAATACTGTGTAACGTATCCGGTAGTGAGGAATGAAAAATACCTCTAAATACTCGGTCCATTCTTCTTCACTGGCACCAAACCTTCGAGTCTCTGGATTCCATTTCATTGCGTCAGTAGAAACCAATTGATGCCAGGTTGTCCAGTGTTTTTTGGTGACGTCTAAATGATTCTTCAATTGAACCTTATCATACCCCAGACCAGTCCTTGTGTGAAATGAATTCAAAATATTCATCCAACCATCTTTATTGAAACTCGTCCCAGGCCTATTTCCCATTGATATCTGTTCAAGACACAAGTCAATGAACATTTCATGAAGCACAGGCGTCCAATTAGCTTTAACTTGATTCAGTTTCACTTTCTTCTGATGGCTTCCCATTTTGAAGACGTTTGATACACATGCAAGAATCTGCACTCATTATCATCTGATCCATCAAATTATGAGTTTCCAAACTCAAATAGTGGGACGAATCATCAACATAGTAATGCCTAACTAAATAGTGATCATTATTTTCAACACTTAGCACCAGTACACGCATAATGAAACCATTCCATCCCCTTGTCAGGGAATTCCATATATATTATTCCTTACTTCTAAAGCGACATGGTTGGAAAATGAATTTTACATTGGTTAAAGACCTAAAGCCAATTCAGCACACTAGAGAGGTCAAAATTCCATCAACAAACCCTAAATATCGAAGCACATTTTATCTCGCATATAGCCTAAATTTGAGATTAAAAATGTACCCCAATCTCTGATGCGAACAACAGAAATGAAAGCTGTCAATTACGCGTTCATGTACCGTAAATCAATGAAATATAAAGACAAAAAATCATGTATTTATCATACATTTCACAATTTATCTAAAACAGGAAATAAAACAGTGATACAGAAAGAAATCAAAATTGCAGTTGAGGCTGAGTTAACGATGCATCAAACTTACACCCAAATGGCATTCCTCAGAGGGGTTAAAGCGATGAAGAGAAACAGGATTTATCGCGTACAGCGAGAGAGACTGAGTTACAGAGATAAGAAAAAAAGAGATCAGGAAAAGACCGTAAATTAACCATAGAAGTAGAAGCTGGTAAAAAATATACAGAGAATTGGACTGATGGTAACTGGACCTTATTAATTTGAACTCAAAGAGCCTGCTAAACATGAAGTCCAAAAAGTATTACTTTGTATTTTGAATAACGGCCCTGCTAGTCTACTACATGTTACGGCTCCGTGTACAGCCCCTCACATTGAGGGCAGGATTCCCTCATTAAATGGGCTTGGGTCCCTCCCCTCATGTGAGAGGAGTGTAAGACTCGATGTACAAGGAGCATTATTTTTTGAATAAAGCCAATCTAAAAAATAAGGAGTCAGAGAGCACACTGATTTTATAGAAATTGGTTGACTTTTTTTTTTTCTTTCAAAGTGTACAATCAAGCTTCAACACATGTCCACCCTATTTTTTATCCTATTTTTTAGCATGTCTCTGTAGCATTTTAGAGAAAATTTCATGATTAAAAGATTAAGTATGATCCATTTCAAAAGAAATAAATCATAAAATTTCAAATATAAGATATTAATTAAATTTTATTTTTGAAATAGTTAATTACAAATTTATTTTATTAATTAAATTTATTAAGGTCAAAATTTTATACAGGTCACAAATTTTTTCTCGATAACAAATCAAAAATTCTATATGTTGAAAATTGTTTCTTGGTCACAAATCAAAAAATTTACAATCACAAATTATTTCTCAATCACAAATCAAAAAATTTATAAATTACAATTTATTCATTGGTTACAAATTACAAATTTTATAAGTCACAACTTGTTTAACGGTTTCAAATATATCAAATTAATCGTTCACGAGTTATTTCTCGATCACAATCATATTTTTTAGGTCACGTATTATTTATTGATCACAAATTAACCAATTTATTGGTCACAATCAATAAAATAATTGATCAAAATCACCCCCACCCCATACGACCACCACACCATCGTAATAACCACCACCACGACCAACACCAACATCACCACACACCATAGGAATCGCAAAACCACCACCACATCATCTGAACCACCCCCGCCCCACATCTTCAATGTCGGATTTAACCAGAGCAACCAAGTCTCAACATCATAGCAATTAGAACCGCCGCTACGTCGTAGCAAATAGAGTCGCCGCGAGTTCACACCAACACGATAAGAACCATGACACCTTCACGACTTCACATCAATCAAGCACTGTATAATTTCACTTCACCATGCAAATCAACATGACAGGATGTGACCTTCCAATAGAATGATAACAAAATGAAAGAGCCAAAAAAGAGTATTCATATAGCCAGAATTTTATATAGAACAATGGGTAAAAGTTAGGCCAACATTCTGAGCTAGTAAAAAGGAACTTGCATTATCTGTCAATAGCAATAAAAGGAAAACTATCAAGCGGATGCTGCTAAATATGTTAATCATGACACAACTAAAGTAAAATAGGAATAAATATACATACATGTTGATAGTTATCAACAGTAACATCGTTCAGGTAAATGTATGAACAACCAAAGTTTAGTTCATGTTATCTGGTATTCCCCCAGATCCTACAGCATCATCCACAGGTTTTTGGGTCCCCACAGGATCTTTATACTAATTCGAAGAGTTTCTCAATCTCCAATGCGCACCTTGTAAAAGATCGGTAATACAGTAAGTTCGCAGCAGCGCCCGAATGAATCACGACGTTGTCGCGAAAGAAATGTGAGAGAGAGAGAGAGAGAGGGAATTAGGGTTGGTATGAAATTTGGTGATATTATTAATATTAAAGTTCCGAATTAATATCTAATTTTTGTATATTCCCCCAGATCCTACAGCATCATCCACAGGTTTTTGGGTCCCCACAGGATCTTTATACTAATTCGAAGAGTTTCTCAATCTCCGATGCGCACCTTGTAAAAGATCGGTAATACAGTAAGTTCGCAGCAGCGCCCGAATGAATCACGACGTTGTCGCGAAAGAAATGAGAGAGAGAGAGAGGGAATTAGGGTTGGTATGAAATTTGGTGATATTATTAATATTAAAGTTCCGAATTAATATCTAATTTTTGTATAAAAAAACTTCAGATTTAATTTTTAAAATTGGATCTTGAAAAATATGGTCGAGTGTAATTTTCATTTGTATTTAAAAGATACTGCAGCCCGCTAAGTATGAAGTCCAAATGATCCTAGATAAGAGCCGAATAATTTTGGAAAATTTTGACAACTACCCTACTTATCCTATAAAAAAAATAAAAATAAAAACAATTCATTTTCCAATATTTTTAATGTTTACTTATTTTATATATGTTACAGTCTATTATGTGTTTGTTATGTGTTACGATGTTCTTCTTTTATTTTTACTATTGTTTTACATGTTATATGTTACATAGGAAACATCACTTATTTTATGATTTATGGGGTAATATGTAATCTCTGTTTTGTCCACATTTATTGAAACTCATTTTTGGCCAAATTTTATTTTTTACCACACATTTCACAAGGTTCATAATTTTTTTAACATTTCAACCATACATTTCACTATTTTTATTTATTTATCAAAATCTACTAAAAATCCCATTTTTATTTAAACCAAACATGGGTATATATTAATACAATCGCGCTATAAATACCAAGTCCCTTGACATCCCATTTTGAAAAAGTGACGTGGCATTACTCTTATAAATAAAATAAAAACCATAAAAATTTAAAATCCAACATCTCTGTCTCTCTCTCCTTTCCTCCAAATCAAATTGAAATCGACCGTTCCCTTCCAACCCATTTTCTTTCTCTTCCAACTCATTTCCTCCCAAAGCACTAAATTCCAGCAGTCTCCGCACCTCCAGCGTCATCCCATCTCAGGCAGCCGCTCGATTCCAGCAGCGCGGTGAAGCCCAGCTCTTTAATCTGAGTTTTTTTTTTTTTTTTATTGTCAAAAAACAAGATTTTGGTTGATTAAATCCAACTGTAGCATGTTTCATATTGGATTTAATATGTATTTAGCTCTATTTCGAACAAATTAGTCATTCCCGACAGTACTTGTATCTTCTAAAAAGTTCATCAAAAGATCAAGAAGAATGGGGGAAGAGAACAGAAAAAGTAGCAGCAAGAACACGCACAAAAAATTCGGAGATGAATATGGCCGGAGTGGAGAAGATGGAAGAAACGGGCAATTTCATTGGAAATTTCTGCCTCTCTGTATGTGGAGAATATGAAGAATATGGCAGTGGCGGAAAGGCTCTCTATTTTGCCGCCTAATTTCTGCTTCTATATTGTTTCATTTTACAAGCATTGGTTTATGCATACATTGTTAAAATTTCTGTTTTGTATAATTCCATCTTTTGGAGGAAATGGTTGGAAGCGGAGTTGACTACGGAAAAATGTGGGAGAGGAAACGTTTTTCGAATTTAGCCTTTTTTTAATATAACAATAAAGTGGGGCTAAACCCATTTTTGGCGCCCTCATTTTTTACTGACGTGTTAAAATCCAACCGTACACGTCTTCTTCTTCTTTTTTTTTTTTTTTTATATGACAGAGAAATATACAGCTACTTCCATTTGGATGCGCATTGGATAAATTATCGGGCTGACGCAATAACTTGCAAATCACCCCAACCAAGTAAACCGCACTAGACAAGTCCTGTGCGATAGGCTCGACCGAGAAAGTTTGGTAGGGGGAATCGAATTCGTGACCAACGATTTTCGCGCGCTCACCTACTCCACCAATTCGGCCACCTCATAGGGGCGCGTACACGTCATTTTGTCACCTAACATTGTAACCTATCTTTGTATAAACAGCATTTATTGATATTAATATCATACTCTCTTTCCAAAATTTCAACACCATCGCATTCGACGTTATTTATTGGACCGTGCTGCATTGCTCGAAAAATGGTTCCAGAAGCCCTGATCAACCCTCACATTAGGGGGTTGGGGCAGCTTCTTTCTCCCAATTGTTTATTCATTGGGGCTCGACTTTGTGAGGAGGCTGTCAAAGCCTCTGTCAAGCTTTCTTCTGGTAGGGAGGCTTTTTCCTTATTTATTACCCTTGTGGGCTTCAAATTCCTAGACATCGCTACCGTCATTCAATCATCATCGCCATAATTCAATAGGGAAATTGTAGCAGAGGTTCCTCACCTTTTATTTTATGTTTTAGCAGACTTTACTCTAACCTTCACTTTGTAGTCCCAAACCTTTAAAAAATATACGCCTAAGGACCAAATGGATGGAAACCGTCCATTTAACCGTTAGTTGACCAATAAAATTAAACTTTGATCAATTTTGACCAATTTAAAAGGGTAAAAAGGTAACTTTATTATTTAACCCAATAAGAAAATAATTAAAATAAATAATTAAAACAAAATAAAAATAAAAGGAAAAACTATTCATCTTCACCCCGCCCAAAACCACCACAATTCTCCGACCTCAAAATCTGATTAATAATCTAGTTGGCGCCATGAGAAGTATTCACACCTAAACTGCATTGTAAATTTTTAATTCAAACTTCCATTTTTCTGACTTTCCTTTTCTCTTGCACAGTATTACCTTTACCAAATCTACGTGCTAGGGGTGTAAACGCTTTGATTTTATCAATTTTTAACAGATTTTCAAATCAAACCGTTTAAACAGATTTGAGAAAAACTCAACATAGATCAAACAATTTTGAACGGTTTTAAAAAAACTCAAACCTAAACCTAACGGTTTGGTCCGATTTTAAACTATCGATTTCGCCGTATATATTTTTTTCCCGTCTACTTTTATGTCATTAATTCATTGAATTCAATATATATTTATATCTTACTAGCAATAAATCTAAAACAAACTAAGCCTTTGTTTGAACCAAATTTTTGGAACAAAAAAATTTTGGACCGTTATCCCACAAGTCCGGCCGTCTTTGTTGACCTGCTGTTTCATGTGTGGGACCCAGCCTCCTCTCCAACGATCAATTTTCTCATTATGATAATATGGAATGAATGGCCCAAACAGGGGCTAAATATATCTACTCTAAATTTAAATACCAACTAAATCAAAGTGAAATCACAATAAACTAAAACATAGTTTTTTTTTCATTTTTGTTCACATTTTTTATGCTAATGAAGATACAATAATATTACAATACAAGTCTACTAAACTAGATATAAGGCCCAAAAAATATAATGATATTCAACAAGACCTCGTGATCAACGTATCTTAAAAAAAGATACTGATTAGACAAAGAAATAACCAACCACACTAATAAAACAATTGTTTACAATATCTAAACATAAATATTACACAAGTTTATGTTTGTGATGTTACAAAAGACATTTAATTTCAGATTCTTACCTTAATTTGCTCTAAAAAAATTATTGATCTGAAATTTTATTCATATCAAATATTATCACTGAAGATCTATGATCTCTTTGTCTTCGATTTGATATAATGGACTTCAATTCAACGTTGAAGAGGCGTGAAAAATCTAAAAAAGAAGTGTGTGGTGCCGATGACTCAAGATTGTGTTGGGTGTTGGCTGGAGTTTATCTAAATTCTGAAGAGGAGAAAGACTTTTGATAGATTATGTTAATCTTGAGATTATTAAATATAAATTAAAATTGTTGGATAATAATAATAATATATATGTAATAAAAAATTAGAAATTGACAAAAATATCCACAAATGACAAAACTATTGAATTTTATATATTTGGCCGAATTTTCAAAAAAAAAATCATTTTTTTCATTTTTTTATTTTTATATATTTTTTCGCTGATCTGGTTTGGTTTTAAACCGTAATTAAAATTCGAAAACATAAACCAAACCGTTTTGATTTGGTTCAAAATCATTTCGTTGACCGAGTCCACGTGTCACCAAACCGACCGGTTTCTAGAATACGGTTTCGATTCGATTTTCTGATTTAGCGATTTTTACTTGCCGCTCTACTACGTGCCATCACATATTCAACTTCCTAGAATTTTCCTGCTTTTCGACCTTATATACCCACTTGCAGACCCTTTCTCACCCACATTAATCAATACATAATTAATTCCTATATTCAGAGTTAGAGGAAATGAAGAATGTAAATTAGTCGTCTTTCTGGCACGATATTCGGCTTGAAGGAAGCAATTTGGTGAGTCTTTCTTTGAATGACTCAATTTGGAACACCAACTATTCTACGAAACGCCTAGCTAAGCAAAGCACCATGGTGTTTTTGGTCGGAGAATGGTAGTGGTTTTGGGCAATGAATTTGGGCGATGGTTTTGGGTGGAATGGGGTGAAGAAGGAGATTAATAGTTTTTCCTTTTATATTAATTTTGTTTTAGTTATTTATTTTAATTATTTTATTATAGGTTTAAATATCAAGATTACCTTTTTACCCTTTTACATTGGTCAAAATTCAATTTTATTGGTCAATAAACAGTCAAATAGATTATTTCCATCAATTTGGACCCCATGTGCATATTTTTTAAAGGTTTGGAATTTGGATGGCATAAAGTGAAAATTAAGATAAAATCTGCAAAAAATGTGAAAGGTTTGAACCCTGCTGCAATTTTCCCTAATTCAATATGAAATCTATGCTCAAACAGGCCTATTGACAGTGGTTGTGGCGATCATTGGACTTGTTCACCCAGCATTAATGATTCAATATTCAATCACTACAAATTTTCTACAATGTAATAAACAAGAGAGAGAAATTATTATAATATTGTTCTAAATCTGTCAAGTAAAAGAAAATGATGCAAATCTAGATCGATTCGAAAATTTTAATTTAGGAAGTCACTTGTGGTTGCTACTTGGTAGAGGGTCGCGAAGAAAATGTTGTTAGAGCTTTAATTTTTTTTTTTTTTTGATAACCCAGGTGTCCCAGCTTAGCCAGACTAAATCCTCGACCTCTAGCCCACGGCCCCTCAGTGACTAGTGGAGGTAAATCGCAGGTTGTGCCCTTGTTGGTTCCCACATGGCTTTTACTCCTTCCCCAAAGGGACCCTCCTCCATGGTTATTACATCATCAAGCTGCTCCAACCCTTCCTCTGGTTATTACATCACTTGGCTGCTTCAACCAGGAATCGAACTCCCCACACTTGGTTCCAGAGCCCCCCAATGTGATTGTTCCGCCAACTTGGATGTGCCCTGGGGGGCTTGTTAGAGCTTTAATTGCTTGGGTTTGTGGTGGTTATTCTTCGCTTTTCTCTCTCTCTCTCTCTCTAGGGGACTCGCAGTCGCTACCATTCGAGTGCCCACTAAGTAAATTCTCGAGCTAACGCAATAACCTGCAAACCATGTCAGCCATGTAAATCGCACTAGGCAAACTCTGTGCGACAGGCTCGATTGAGAAAGTGTTAGTAGGGTTCGAACTCGTGACCTAAGGTCTCCGCACTCACTTACTCCACCAACTCGACCACCCCATGTGGGGCATTGTGGTGGTTATTCTTGATATGGTTTGAGGGTGCAAATCTGATAATTAGGTTTAGGTTTTGTCGGATTGAAATGTTAGTAATTTTTCAAAAAGTATTAATTAGGTGTAAATGAAAATAAAAAATAAAAATAAAATGCAGATAAACTATTTTTCAGTTTTTTATTATTTTTTAAGCAATGAGCACAATTTCACTATAATTTTCTTTATATGCACTAAAAAGAAAAAAAAAATAGTTTCCATGAAGTTGACATTGCGGGTTTACAATAATAAGCTGTTAAGGGATGAAATTAATTTTACAACTCAAAAAAAATAAAAAAATAATAATAATAATAAAACCGTACTCGAAAACACGGAATGGTCCAAATGCTTCTTTTATTTATTCAAAAATCTCTAAGTCTAGACAAAGTTGGGTATATATCTATTATTTAACACCATGGCAACATAAGTACACTTCAAAAATAAAGCGAGAATTTAGGTAAACAAAATACCTTGGGCAAATGTATATTTAACATTTAGCTCACGTTGACAAAACTTTTTCAAAATCATAAATTGGTAAATTTCATGATTTATCTGTTGAAAGATGAATAAAAGTTGTGAGTCTAATAATTCAAATTAACTTTGATCAGTTTATAGCACCCGTTTGGCCTCCATTGATTTCTATTGTATTTATCTTTATTATATTTTCAACCACACAGTCTTCCATAAAATAATATTACATATAAATCTAAAATTTTTCCTTCTTTTTCAACCACTCATTTTCAAAAAGATAAAAATAAAAATTATTCCACTCATTTTCATTTTAAAAAAAGGGGGCCAAATGGGGTCATAATTTCAAAAGAGTTTTGTTAAATAAGGGTAAAATTAATAAGTTTTTCAATTTATTCAATTAAATTGGACACACTACGTCAAAAATCCAGGACCTTCCTTACAGCAAAACTAGGATAAATCAGTGTTCTGAAAAAATCGTCTAAGCGGAATCTAGGTGATACCTAGGCTCAAAGCTCGAGCAAAACACCTCACTTCGCGTCTAGACAATTGGATTTTTCTTTTAATTATTTCGTCTTCCATAGACGCGCTTTATTATTATTATTATTTTATTTTTTAAAAGTCTTTCATTTGATTTTAGCTTATTATTATTTTTAAAAAAATCATTTGACTTTAATTTTAATTTTTTAAAAGATTTTATCTTTAAAAAAGTTAAAAATGATTTTATTTAAATAGTTAAATAAAATTCTAAGTTTTGTTAATATTTACATTATGTAATTATGATCTTGAGACTTATCTTATTACAAACTCCAAAGGCATGTTGAAACTCCTATAAATCTAGTGTTTGTTGTGTCCCATTATTTGTGAGTAATATATTATGGAATAGTGATTGATGTTGAAATGTGTGGTTAAAGAATAATGAAGGGTTTTTTATTTACGTGTAATATTATTTTAATAAATAATGTGTGATCGAAAATGATTACTGTAGAAAAAATAATATGGAAGAATGGAGCACAAACAAAGCCCTGTGAAGTAGGACTTGTCTAGGAAAAAAATTGAAACTATAAAAAATATTTTAATTTTTGTATTTTGAAATTTTGAAAATTATATAATTGAATAATGGTAAGAGTTATTGAATAAATATTATATTTTATAACTTTAGATGTCCAATATATATTATTTTAATGATTAAATAATTTTCAAAATGATTAAAAATTTAAAATAATATTATAAATAAAAAAAATTACTCCTAAGCGAGGCTTAGGCTTGCTTAAGTTTCCAAAGTTTGAAGTTTCGGCTCACGTCTAATAACTCTTTACGCTTTTTAAAACATTGGGATAAACATATCGGAGAAGGAGATCCAATGTTTCTTATCTTCAACAAGACGTGATTTTATCTCAAATTATTTGTTAATATTGCTTGATTTGTTTTTATAGAATATAGAATAATATTATCTATTTCTGATGGTGTTTAATATCTGGTGGTAATAAAAATAATTTAAACTCGTTCAATTAATTAAAATATTCCATATGCTGAAGTCAAAATGAAATTCAGTCCATATTGATGAAAGACCTGTTTGACATGGAAAATGGAAAAAATAAATAAAATGATAATAATAATAATAATAATAATAATAATAATCATTTTCCATCATTTTCCCTTTTCTCTTTTCATTTGACCTTTTCCTTGAATTGGTGGAAAGGTCTGAAAATGACTTCCATTTTCCTCCTCCTCTTCTTTTATTTATTTATTTATTATTATTATTTTTTTTTGCAATGAAAATAAATTCTATCCACAATTGTAAAAAAATTCATCCCTTAAATTGACAATTTTCATGAAAAACAAAATTAAATGAACACTAAAAGATCCAAAATTTCAATATTTTTCAAGTAAAAAATCATACCAATCAAACTTATTTAATTGATAATTCATAATAAAATAAGTTTTAGACAATTCAATTTCTTGAAATTCGTTTTCTTTTCACCTAAATTTCATTCTTACAATCAAATCGAGCCTTAAAAGAAAACTTTAGATGGAATATTTATATTATGTTGAACATTTATTGAAATGTGGAATGTCTGTGACGTGTACGTATAGGAGGATATAGATTTTTAATGTATTTTCATTCATTATTGGACCACGTGCATCTGCTGTCGCTTCCCACCATCTGTTCTACTATATATAAATATACACATGTCTGCCACTTTAACATTAAAATAAGACAGCGAATGCAACTTGTTACCAAGAATTTTCCATTTCTCCCATCTTCCTCAAGAGAATATGAAAACGATAAGGGCGTGTTTGGGTTAGCTTAATAAGTGAAAAGAAACATGAATATAAGATAATGTCTCGGCCATTTGCTATGGAGTGTGACCGGGTAGAAAGCATGTTTGTTTGATTTTGATTATTTAATAATCACTTTTCTCCAATACTCATTTTAATCACATATTTTTTCAAAAAGTAATCTACTTTGCAAGAAAAAATATCCAAAAGTTGCACTATAAAATGAGTTGGAGGGAAATGATTCAATAAAAAGCTGACTCTATTTTTATGCCCCATTTGGTTTTAATCTATGTCAAAGTCAACAATTTATTTCAACTACGTAGTTTTTGGATTCTATAACTTTTCAACCACATATTTCATTAACTTCTATCAAAATCTACTAAAAATTCGATTTTAACTTCTATATAAACATTGATTTACATATAACAAGATTGTTTAAAAAATGGGTATTTTTCATAATTTTTTCATACTTTTTTACCACCATTTATCAAAAAAGAAAAATACCTTTCAAAATCATTATCAAACGAGAGAATGGAGGCCCCCTGCAATTATGCATCTTTAATATTCTTAACTACCTCTTGCAGGCAGGGAAGAAGGTGGACCTGTGCATTTTCTTGTTCAACATGGGCCTTTGGGAAGATAAAAGAGTGGATTGATTAATTTCCACAGGCACACAAACACATCACAGATCGATGGCATCTGATGAAGATACAGCAAGTGAAAAGCCTCATGCTGTGTGTATCCCATTCCCAGCACAGGGCCATATAAACCCTATGCTAAAGCTGGCCATTCTCCTGCACCACAAAGGCTTTAAGATCACTTTTGTCAACACAGAACACAACCACAGACGCTTAATCAAATCCAAAAGCCTCCACTTTTTTAATAGTCCACTTCCAGATTTCGATTTTAGGACAATCCCAGATGGCCTTCCTCCTATTGATGATAGTGCAATGCATCAAATTCCGTCTCTCTGTGATTCTACTCAGAAAAATTGCTTAGCCCCTTTTCGCCTCCTACTTGCACAACTCAACGTTACTGCTTCACCAAATTCAAAGGTTACTTGCATTGTTTCTGATGCTATCATGACTTTTGCACTTGAAGCTGCCCAAGAAATTGGTGTGCCTTGCGCGCTACTAAGGACTACCAGTGCAGCCAACCTATTGTGTTATCTACAAATACCTTCTCTTATTGAAAAGGGAATATGCCCTCTCAAAGGTATCATTTTTTTATTTTTTATTTTTTGTATATGCTCATATAATTGAATTTGCAGTAAACTCTTTTACTAGAGTGAAATTTCTATATATGATTAATTAGCTTGCTATGCACTACATATAAAATTTCTTTCTTTCACTTTGAGAGAGCAAAGGACCAATTGTTGAGTTTTAATTTGTCATGTAGGCTTAAACGTGTAATTAATTGTATATGAAAGCTATCTTAAAACTAAGTCCATTTAAAGTGATCTAATAAAGAATTAAAATTATTGAGCTTTGGACATTTAAATAAAGTGTGTACCTAAATATTTGTAGAGATGGGATCTATTAGGATTGTATTCCATGATGTGCCGAAATACATATGGAAACAACAAATATGGTTATGGTTCAAAATTCATATGTGATTCTTATTCTATGTATCATCCCATTAATATAAGAATATTAAGAGAGAACATATTGAAGATGAAGATGTTGGGAATCTACTTATACATGCACAGCGAAATTTAAAATAATTTTCGATTTCTACCAAGAATCGCCTTTGTGTTTAGATAGAAATTGTGATAAGATTGTACATTTTCCAGATCTGCAATCTTTTTGCTTTTCTTTTCATTCTATCAACCTTGATTTGCCACCACAGCTGTCCAATTGTCCAGCCTCCAACGGTGATCCACACAGAGAATATGATTGCAGCCTCTATGGTTTTCTCTTGTGCCAGCAAGAATAATGAAAACCTGATGGACCTCAAACCCTAGTTATGTATTTATATAAACCCAAACAGGCTCGGCTCGGTCCGGTCCAATAATTAATTAATCCAATTAATTAAACCCGGTCCGTGAATTAATTAATCCAATTAATTAATTCGAAAATATAAATAACAAATCCAATTAATTAATTTATCCAACGATTGTTAAATTAACCAATTTGCAATCTTCCAATTCTCTTTTGTGTGTGACCCATTAGGTTCCCGACCACAATGCCTAACGACGTGAAATATTATTTTGATCTAATCAAAATTGATAAATTAAAACACCCTTTTAATTTATCGTCAATTCACATTCGCTGTTCCTGATTGACATCTAGCAATGTGTCAGGGCAATATATGTGACGGGAAATGTCACGTGGTATGACAAAATCAAATTCGTTCGTTTATCGTGAAACTATAATCCCTTCGTCAATATGATCCGATCAATTACGAGATATGGAGTTGTGTCAATCTCGATCATCGATCATATCTTTCACTCCACTATTAAGTCAATATAAATCGAAAACTCCTTTTCGACTTATGAGTACACCTTGGCCAAGGATTTTATCATTGACTTAATTGAATGAAACGCAGATCATAATCTCCTACTATTTAAGAGTGACGAATTTTTTATTGATCAATCACAACCTTCATACGATTCTTGACGTACCCGAACGATGTCGTATTAGCGGCCCTTTTCAGAGCAACATCCAACACCGCCAAAGTATGACCGTCCTCATATAAGGTACCATGACGACCTCAAGTCAAAGGATCAATTCCACTACCGAACGTTTGAGATTAACCACTGACACTCAGATAGTTATCCATGTGGAATCTCTCGACGGGTCTCCAATGTTCTGTTCTATAACAAAACATTCACGTGCTCATTTAAGTGTCACCACACTTTAACTTGTGAGATCAGTTACTTACTTCACAAGTAAGAAATGCCACACGTGATGGTCTATTCGTAATAACGATATCCGTATCTCATTATTACTTACGACCACGGATGATTTAAGATTCAATCAGATGTAATTTGTATCTCACAATCACAACTCCTTGTGATTAACAAATTACGAAGATTTGAATCTACGGACTCTATTATTTATTTAATTGTCTATTAATTAAATAATAGATCTGCCATTTAATTGCATTAATTATATATAAAAGTATTTATGTCCAAAGTTGATTGGACTTAGGGCATAATACTTACAAAAGATCCAAAGCCCATGATCAAGAACAATCAATCAAGAAGAAAGAATTGAAGTAATCAAGATTATCGAGCAAGAAGCCGAAATCAAGAAACAAAGAATAAAGATTAATAAGCCAAAATTAAGAGATTGCAATTGATCTTCAGTATTCAAGATCTGGTATTAAATTATCATTCCTAATGAATCTAGGTATATCTCGTACTTTATAATTTTCTTTGGTGATTTAACTGGAGCATCTTGACAATAAAATAATTAGGTTTTCAAGTTCTTGAGATTTAAAGTTTTGATAAAATCTATCACCAGTGCCATGTTTTTTCTCACAATTTAACTTTTTTCTACAGATGAAAAGTATTTGACGAGTGGCTATCTAAACAGTACTGTTATAGACTGGGTTCCTGGCTTGATACATCTTTCTCTTGGAGATTTTCCTACCTTCGTTCGCACAACAGATGCCAATGATCTGATGTTAAACTTCATTATCAACGAATCAAAACGAGCTCTAAAAGCAGCAGCCATTATTATCAACACATATGATGCACTTGAAAACAATGTTCTGAATGCACTGTCCTCTCTTTGCCCCCCACTCTACCCCGTAGGCCCTCTTCAGCTACTCACTCATGGCAGAAAAGTTGAACCCCTTGGTTCCAGCTTGTGGAAAGAAGAGCCCGAGTGCCTAGACTGGTTGAGCACCAAGGATCCAGAATCAGTACTTTACGTGAACTTTGGCAGCGTAGCATCCATAACCAGCCACCAATTGATTGAACTTGCATGTGGACTTCGTAATAGTGGAAAGAATTTTCTATGGATAGTAAGAGAAGACCTAGTAATGGGGGAGTCCTCAGCGTTGCCACCGCAGTTCAAGGAGGAGACGAAAGGAAGATGTTTCATTGCAGGCTGGTGCGATCAGGAACAAGTCCTGAAACATCCTTCTGTGGGCGGATTTTTGAGTCACTGTGGATGGAACTCGATCGGAGATAGCCTGTCGAGTGGGGTGCCCATAATTTGTTGGCCGTTCTTTGGAGATCAGTTTCTTAATAGTAGATATGCATGCAGTGTCTGGGGTACTGGAATGGAGATTGGTAATGATGTGAATAGAGATGAAGTGGAGCGTGTTGTGAGAGAATTAATGGATGGAGATAAGGGTAAAGAGATGAAGAAAAGAGCTAAAGAGTGGAAGGAGAAATCAGAGGAAGCCTGTGGATCAGAGGAAGCCTGTGGTTCAGCGTGGATGAATTTGGACAAATTAATCCACAACGTTTTACTGGTCAAAGGAAATAACTGCTTAATTTAAATCCAGTACTAAGTAGTATGCTGTACAACAGTCCTTAATGAATTTAATCTCAAGTTGGCTTATGTGAGCACCACTTGAAAGAATAATGAATGTTTAACGCCAACCTCCAATTAAATGGTCATTAAATCTTTAGGCTTAATATCTATGATTTAACGGGACGATTATAGTGCTGCTACTTAAATGTATTGGTGCTAGATAAGATATGTTGTCCCAGCTTACCGTTCTATTGATCATGGAAGAAGGTGCAATTTGTTATCCAGTATTTCTTATCTGGCGTCTCAAGTTCCATTTCGCTATCCAATTGACAACAGTATCAGGTCAAGTTCGAGTTCGTTACTATCCATAAAATTTTTAATAAAATTGTGATCCGACAATACAAATTTTCTTTCCGATCTCTAGCACAATAGGAAAATAAAATATCTAACCAGATGAAATATATCAATATATTCTTAATTCACAACAAAATGTGAGTAAAAGCCCTCCATGCAAGTAAAATATTGTAAAAAAAAATATCCATCCGCCCCCTATTGCGTGTGTTTTTGAGGGGTAGAACCCCTCTCTTGTACATACAGCACAACCTATACATTATATATGTCATGCCTGTAACACCCTCCAAAAATTATTGTAATCCCTTTTAATAGTTGTGAGAACTGGTGTATCTCGCTTTGGCTTCTGACATGAAATCTTCCTTTCTTTTATCACCCCAAACTTCCTGTTCAGAAGTCATTGGTTACATTTTCAATATGTTTGAATATTACGTGAAATCTATAATTCGTGACTGTTATAGGAAATCAAATCATAAAGATCCAATCAAAGATCTATTGCCTATGTTCAAAAATGTTGCTCAAATTTTCAAGCAAAAGGACATGGAGATCCATCAATATAGTCATTCGCAAGGGAAAAGGAGAACAAATAAATCCCTAAAATAACCGACATCGAGTGCCACCATCAACTAGTTCAATTAGACCACAAGTCCAATGTCCACATCAAAATTCAAAAATAGCCTTCTAATCAGCAACTAAACTACAATTTAAGGTTTAGGTTGTCTTGAAAAATAGATATACGGCATCAAAAATGTGCTGATGTCTTAGCAAGTTGCTTAGCATCTGCTTTTGCTGCTCTTGATCTGGAATGCTCCTTAGCAACCGTAGCTATGAATTCTTCATTCTTTTCTTCAAGATTGATTTGCTCAGTACCAACTTGTGTGTCAGACGATGGTCCACCTTCATTACCATCAACAAAGAGGGACAGAAGTTGCTGGCCCGTCGTCCATAACAATTTTTTGTGGTTGCTGTTCGACGTCGAGTGTAGGCATGAATTGAAAAATTTTGAAACTCTTCTGTGGTTGGCTTGAATCATCTGGCACCAATTTTTAGTACAAACATACAAACATGAAGGATTTATTATATCACTTGCAGACATTAAATGGTAAATCAATGTTGTCTTTTGAGTGAATGCTTCAATCAGTAGACTTTGTCAAACAATTCTCAATACACCCACACTATGACATAGCAATACTAAAAGGAAGGAGTCCCCCGGGGTATATCCTAGTGGTGCAAAGAATAATGGTGAGGTATACTCAACCTTGCTGGCAGCCGCAGTGTGAGGGTTCGATTCCTGAAACATGAATTGAAACTCTTTGTGGGCACTAGTGTACATGCAGCTCTTATTTCCTGGCCTGCTGGGGCACATCCCACGATTAACCTCTCTCAAAATGCTCCAGGAGCGGACGGTGGGGGACCCTTAAGGTTGGGGTTCAACCTTTAATACTAAAAGGAAAGAATAAATAGCTTTGAATTTACCTCGATATTGTCCTTCACTTGCGATTATTCACAAATCCAAGCTTCACGGTCGGCTTAGCCTTTGGTGTGATAGAATTTTGATTTGGGGTTAGGGTTCTCAACAATTTTGAATTTAGAATACGAAATTTTGTCTGGAGAGAGACATAATGGCCGAATGCGGTTTGAAGGATTTCTCACGCTTTCAATTGAAAATTTAGCTAAGGCATATTTGGGTGTTTTAGGGAAGAAACTTCAACAGGGCGGTCACACCGAACCACCTTGGCGAGTGGCTCTCCACACACCCACCCGCTGAGGTGTGTGGGTCATGCGCCAAGGTGGCGTCTTGGCATTGGATTGGTGCACTATGTGGATGGTGCCATGGTGCGCCTGCGCCCACCGAAGATTCTCTCGTGTTTTAAATATAATAAGTTGTCATTTAATTTTTGACTTGGTAATATTTAACTACCAGATTACAATCCATTAACCACGTAGGCAGGGGTTATAAACGGATTTTGCATGGTGTAATGGAGTGCGACAACATAGTTCTGAGTCATGACGTGCAAATGTAAGTTCGGTGAGAAACGTTAACTTACCTAAAGTTTGGTGTGTTTTCAAATAATTAACTCACTGATTTTTAATATGGATAATTGCAGCAGAAGCCCCAAATATTTTAAACACTAGCAGACTTTTTTCTAACATTTCATTTGTTACAGCCGTCACCCTAAACCTTTTCAAATGTTGCATTTGAGGTCCTTTTGGATGATTTCTGTCTAAAGTGTCATTAGTTAACCATAAAAATAAATTTTGACCATCTTTTAATCAATTTTAAAAGGGCAAAATGGTAACTTTCTATTTACCACATTAAACAATTAAAAAAATAAAAATGAAATAAAAAAGGAAAATTGTTGAAACCCGACACCTCCCATCTTCTTCTTCCTCATTACACCCCAAACCCCCACCCCACCTTACGCCACCCTCTCCCACCAAATACCACCAAACCCACAACAAATTGTTGCAAAATCTTCTGCTGCTAGTACCTTAATATTAACAAGATTCAAAACCCATTTAAAAAAAAAAATCAAAATTAACATTTGGTATTGAATTTCCCACAGCCATTGAAACTTGCAGCTTCAGTTTTGGCCGTGGTTGTTGCTTGTCTAGCTAGTCTAGATTCGACATTTTGTTGGGTTCTAAGGACACTGTAAAGTAACGGGTTACTGAATGGTTTTCTCTACTAATGTGAAAAGTGTGAAACTCCATTATCGGCAAATGACCATCGCTAATTCAAACATAGCAAATCATTGGCCTAGAATATTCATTTCTTATCTTTATACAAGGGCAAACAGGATGAATATGCCCTTAACTGCAAATTTTGGCTCAGTGAAGAAGAAGCTAAAATTGAATACCAAAATAACAGTTTCGGTGAATACGAAAAATGGAGGCAAGGGTTAAATTGGTGATTGTGGTGTGGGATAGGTGGAGGAGACGATGGATTTTAGGATGTTGCGATGGTAGTGATGGCTCGTTGGAGGTGGTGACGACAATGGCATGGATTCAATCTGGTATTTGGTGGGAGTGGGGGTAATGGGAGTGTAGTAAGGAAGAAGAAGATCCATTTTTCCTTTTTTTTAATGTTTTTTAATTGTTTAATGTGGTAAATAGGAAGTTACCATTTTGCCTTTTTAAAATTGATTAAAAGGTGGTCAAATTTCATTTTTATGGCCAACTATCGGCATTTTAGACGGAAACCATCCAAAAGGGCTTTAGATGCAACGTTTGAAAAGGTTTAGGGTGACGATTGCAACAAATGAAATGTTAGAGGAAAGTCTGTCAGTGTTTAAAAGGTTTTGGACTTCTGCTGCAATTATCCCTTTTCAATAAGTCAAAACACGTACATAGAAACCAGTGACTTTGATTGATATTGGGTCTACTTTTTTCAAAAATAGGGACCAAAACTTAAAAAATGCCTGAATTCCAATTTTAAATTTCAAAATCTGTTTGGTTGTATCTTCTTCTTCAACTTGGCTTCGCCTCCACGTTGCCTCCGATTCAAGCTTCTTCTCACTGGCTGGCCGCTTCCGGCGACAACTCTAAATTCTGGCGAAGCTAGCGTGATCTTCTCGAGCGATCGAGCCAATTAGCTAGGTGCTGGCTCCGCCATTGAGTAGGTGGTGAGCCTCTGCCATAGCCACTACTATATAATTTTAAAGATAATTTATCTATCTTAATTTATTTCTTCTCAATTTTCTAAAGGTATTTGTTAGGCGGAAATAGAGTTGATGAAATGTAAAAAATGGGGTGGACAGAGATGGATGAAATGAGGTTAACGCCACGGGCGGACCCACATGGGGTCATGTGGGGTCAAATGACCCCACAAAATTTGACCTTTTTTTTTTTTTGCAATCTACTTTGAAGTACTCGTCGGGATGTCAAATGAAGTCAAAATATTGCATTCTTAATACCATTTCGAAGTGCTCATGGCTTAGTTTTTCACTCATTAATGACATGTGAAGTGGTCAATTATAGCAAAAGTTATGACATGTTAAAGTAGGCCGTTTGAAACTAATATTTTGAGAGTTTCGATAATATCCTAACTCTAAAAATTCGTTTGCAATCATGTGCTATCTGAATCCACAAATCATCTATACCATATAAAAGTTTGTTTCGAAAACTACATCGTTTTCATATCGAATGGTTCAAACGGATATCGAAAATAGTTAAATATGTATCAAACGTACGCTTTAAAAAAGACGTCTAACTCGTTTTTTCTTTTAAAAAATTCAATTAATTATTATTTTTGCACAATAAATTTTTCAATATAATTTATATCGTTTCATTTGGAAGTCTTACATGAAATATGACGTAAATTTTTTAGGATTGTTACGGATTAAATACAATTTGAATTACTTTCGAATTATATATGTTTGCTTTAGATTTGAATTTCATTTACTTCCTTAACTAAACTTGAATTTTATTTCAATTCATTTAATTTCTATATTCAATTTAATTTATTCAATGTTAGCTCAGCATTTACCAACGAAATGATAAACAAAACTATACAAGTAGCAAAATTTATTTAATAATGTTAATAATGATGTAATTATACGACGTTTTCAAAGTGTTAAAATACATATTAACTTATTTTTATTGATATTATATTGTTTATTAAAAAAAATTATTTTTAAAATTTTGACCCCACAATGCTAGACGTCTGGGTCCGCCCCTGGTTAACGCTGACCAGTCAAGGTTGATGAGGTTTACTCCATGGCTGGGTTGAGATTGTAGTTGGATGGTTGAGTGAATCCAGGAATATGAACATTTCTAACCAACTGACAGATTTTTTTAGGGTTGGCAATGGGTTTGGGGTCGGTTCGATCAAAATCATCACCGAACTATCAATTTTTTTACCATACCATAACTGCACTATAACCATGTAAGTCGGTTTCGGTTCAGGGGCGATTAATAACCATTGAAATAAATTATTTTTCATAAGTTCAGTCGTCAAATTGAAGAATACAATTTATGAAAAAAAGTCACACGTGATGGTTACTAACTGATAGTCAAGTAAATTATATTGGAGCACTTCAAACAATTTGGCGTTGTTGATCACTTACCGGATCAAAATTGTACAAAGAGCCAATAGAGGGTAAATTTGTAAGAAGGCGGCGACTTATAGTATCAAAGGTGATATCTAGGTTACTAATGACAAAATAAAGAAAGGCAAATACTATGTATATTTAATTTCAAGTCAATCCAGATGCCTAAAACTAATCAAATGATCAAATTTACCATAAGAGAATAAGTTTTTTGGAATTGAAATTGTTGATTGAGTTCACTTCAAGAGTGAGTGAGTTGATAACCATCATGTGTGACTGCAAAGGAAGAAAAAAATGCCTCTGTGGGGTTTGCAAAATTAAATCTTTTTTATACACGTTTTGCATTGGATTATTATTTAGATGAAAAAAGTAAATTTAACGGGTAATTAGTTCAATTTTGGGCGATGACGTAAATACCATATCCGCACAGTTCTGAACGGATTCATTAAAATCAAATACCATATCCACCACATTGCATCATCGATTCGATTTTTTTCGCCTCGTTCGGTTCTGTTAACCGCGGGTTTTGATTTTGACGGTTCAAATTGTTATCCCTAGATTCTTTGGACAAAAATAGTTCAAAAGTCCTTCCACTTTTCAATTTTGAAAGGTTTGGGATCCCACTACACATTTTTGAAAAGATTTAGAACCTCCCATGCAAATTTCTCTCTTTAATTAATTAAACATTAAAATACCACTTTTCCCTTTTATAATTGGTCAACTTATAGTCAAACATCAACTTTTGGTCAAATTACAGATTTTTGGATGGAAAATGTTCAGATGTCTATAATTTTGAAAAATTTGAGAACTTTGCTGCTATGGTTAAAGGCCCTATTTGATTGAAATTATTTCATAAAATAGGTTCTGTAATAGATAATTGTTGGAGAATGTATAGTTAAAAAATAGAAATAAATATTAGATTTACGTGTAAAATATTTTATTTTGAAAATATGTGATTGAAAATGGATTTGCGAAAAAATGAGCATCAAACAAGGTTAAAAGTTTGGATGTAATCTGCATATTTTTGAAAGGTTTGAGACCTTCATTGCAATTACCCCAAAAATAGAAGAAACAATTGGCTTTCTACAACTTTTGTTATCAAAACAAAGTTATTGTCCGTATGTGCTTTGAAATTTCAACTAAAAGGAAATATGAAAAGAGCGCTTACATTACATTACAGCGAAGACATTTACGTCCTTTCTCCATCATTATTCATTCTATTTTGCTGCATTTCCTTTCCATTTACCCACTGCCCCGCCCGTCTTCTTCCCTTTCTCCGCATAAATATATACACTTAAGGCGTGGGTAAAGTTTTTGATCCTAGTTTTCGACTTTTTCCATCTCCTCAATTCAACAATTCTTCAACTCTTTCTTTTCCAGGGTACGCATCTTTGACTGAATGCTGTTTTCATTGACTTCCGATCTAAATGCCCTCTGAATCTTGTAGATCGCTAATTATATTTAGAATTCTTACGAGTTTCGTTGGTAATATGATTACATTTTGCTACTTGTTTTGAATGTGATATTTTCTTTCTTTTTGGGTTTAATTGAAAATTTGAAAGATCAGATCTGTAGCCATTTCTCGTTTTAAATGCAGAAAGCAATGTCTTTTATTGGGACACAACAGAAATGCAAGGCCTGTGAGAAGACAGTTTATCCGGTTGAGCTTCTGTCTGCGGATGGAGTTAGTTATCACAAGTCTTGCTTTAAATGCTCTCACTGCAAAGGAACCCTCAAGGTATAATACATCTTCAATCACGTGTTAAATTTTAACTCATTCTTCTGTGGGTTTAGGAGAGAAAGCTTTATTTTTGGGCACATTTTCTTTAGATTTTAGATATTTAGTTAATACGATTGTTCATAGATTTAATCATATATTTTTTTTCTCAAGTATGAAATTTTATATGACAAAAGAAGACGTGAAATTGGGCAGCTGATGACTCGCAACTCTGCTTTACCATATCAATTTGGATTACTCTTTTATGAGATATAGACTACTGCAGCCATTTAGTAAAAATCGCTATGGCAGAATAACGTTCCATAGAAAAGATGATCGTATTTTTTTATATGTGCCAGTAATGTCTATTTATGTTCTTTGCCTCTTCTTATGATTTTTTTCTCAGCTTGGAAATTACTCATCCATGGAAGGTATATTGTACTGCAAGCCTCACTTTGAGCAGCTCTTCAAGGAGACAGGCAATTTCAGCAAGAACTTTCAGTCACGTATACCTTTTCCATCTTGACGCATTTATCGCTCTAATTAGCCTTTCTCTTTTAGTTTTTTAATTTAATATGCATTATGTTTTGACAGCTGCAAAGTCAGCTGAGAAGTTGACCCCAGAACTGGTAATTTTTTCCCACCTGTGTAGTTAGCAGACGTATAATTTCTCAGTATAGTGTTGTCTCTGATTCTTTTTCTGTCTGTTTTTCTATTCTTTTTTTTTTTTGTGTGTGTGTGTGTGTGTGTCTGTGTGGATATACAGACAAGATCACCAAGCAAAGCTGCTGGCATGTTTTCTGGGACACAAGATAAATGTGCTACTTGTGGGAAAACAGCGTACCCTTTAGAGAAGGTATAATAAGATTTCTTTAAACGGCATCTTGTTGCAACATTTTATTCGAACACTTAATGGCAATCTCTTTATTGATTAAATTGCCTTTTTTGAGGAACTGTATTGTATCAATTGGATAAAAATGACTTCATTCTATGCTTAATGGGTGCAATCAACTTTCCAGTGCTGTTTGAACACACTAAGATGTCCCTAAAGGCCTGTATTGCTCAATTAATGACGGAAAAGACAAAAAGGGAAGACATAATTAATGTTATAATATGACTTGGTGCTAGTAGGAACATGATTGCCACTCTAACATTTTGAAGATGCATAAACCAATGAACTAAGCTATATAGGCCCGAGCTAGGTTGAGCATGCATGGTTCCTCCCACATGATTTATTTGTACGAGTCTCCCACTATTCTGTCTTGATACAGATTTCTTAATGAATAATTGGGACACTAGGTAAAAAAAGGTCTTGGTGTTTATCCAATTTGCCTTGTTCTTCTTCTGTCAACCTTCAAGAACTTCTGGAGCTAGGTAAGTGAACACCATTATTCCCGCGTATGGAAAAGCTAGAGAAAGGAGAAGATGAAATTTGCCTGGAAAAAAAGAGAGTTTCCTCATATGAGATTATTTCGGGATCTTAAGTTGCCAAGAGCATGCGAAATGAACTGTTCTCTGAGCAAGTAAATTAAATAATTTCTCATAATTATAAGTCATGTTGACCTGAAAACTTTATAAGGTAGCTGGAAGGCTCCAAAAATCTTAAAAAGACTAATAGAAAAGTTCCTTGTCAATATGACAATGAAACCTGGATGCATTCTTTAATTTTAAACCATGGATGATCATGTCAATCCCTTTTCCATACAAATATCATTCTGTGTTTGCTGTTGGATGCTTAGATTTTCAAAATTCCAACGAACCCTTAAACATTGTTTCACTTTCTTCTCTTCACATCCAATTATCTGATCCCCGCTTTCTCTAGCTTTTTCAACTGCCATTAGATCAGGTCTCTCTCTCTTTTCTCAGTTGTCTTTGTCAAAAAGAGAAATTTCACGTTCTGATATCTTGTACATTTCATTTCCATCATTCAATTTTAATTTTATTGAAATGTTGACTTTTGAATACATAATTTGAGGCTATTTAGAGTCATATTTTAGTTTTCTGAACTTCTTCAAATAACTCTGCATTTAATTATGCATGAAAACAAAAATCAAATTCTTCATTTATAAATTATACAAAAACCTGCAGTTACAACAAGCATATGCCTTCAAACTCACCCTCCTGTATACTTTTCCATAAGAACAATCTTAATTCACAGTACTAGGTCTACACTAAGCATGTGTTTGGCAGTCATCTTCAACCTCAGAATTGGGGCGCTTGGCCGAATCACCACCTAAATTAATCTGCAATTTAATCTTTAAATTCTCATCATTTCTGTCATGGTTCAGAAGAAGTTTTCTAAGATGAGATTCCAGATTTTGCAGTCAAATTTGGCTGTAATAATCAACGAACCTTAATCATTTGGAGTGAGATTTCAAAATTTTCATTTCTTTTGTGTGGTTGCAAAGGATTTGAATAAATTTGATATTTCCTGTTATGCACTATGTAATGACAGATTAGACGAGTGACAGAAAAGGGTACCACAAATTCTATGGAATTATGCCTTTGTTTGTATTATTGCATCTCTAACCTTTGTGAATTTGAAGCAGTCGAAACTTGAATTGAACTTATGAGCCCCAAAATTTCAAACACAATTTTGCCATCCTCGAGCATATTGTAGCATGCAATTTATTTAAAATCCCTCCTTCAGTTAGACAAATTTGTCAGCAAGCAAGTATTGTTCATCAAGCTTAATTATCAACAAACCTTAATAATTTGGAGTGAGATTTAAAATTTTTCTTTTCTTATGTGTGGTTGCAAAGGATTTAAATAAATTGGACATTCCAGTGTATCTACTATGTAGTAGCAGATCAGACGAGTGGCAGATAAGGAAACCCGAACTCTTATGTGATTAAACCTTAGTCTGAATTCTTGCATTTCTCACCTTTGTGAATTCGAAGCAGTCAAAAGAACTCGATCTCCACCAGGCGTGATGAACTGCGATGAATTGAACACAACCTTCTGGCCATTGAGTGCATATCCTTTTCTTATTCTTATTTTTGTCTTGGTTCGCACTTTATGGCACTTCTAGTATAAAAATAAATAAATGAATAATAAAAAATCGAATCCCGCAAAGGATTGTTCATGGAACCACTATCAAGACTCCTTGTACCATATTTCCTAGTATCATCCTGATGTTCATTGATGTACCATCATTTGCTTAAGACCCAAAAATTCCCACACACAGAATTGAATAATTAAAGTTGGTTTATAGCATTATTAGATTGTGGTTAATAATACAATCATTCGGCGTGCTTGTCTAAACATTATTGTCAAAAATGTCAGTGTGAGTGTTTGGACGATGAAATAGCATCTTCCTTCCATGTTCTCTGGAAAGGTAGGACTCGAGCAAGAACTTATCCAACTTGTAAAATTTTGAAAGATTTCTTACGTTTTGCTTAATATGGATAAACAAGCACTCGGCAGATAGCATCCAGATTATATTGTGAGGTTTGATATCTGATAAGTATTTAGTTGCACTGTTCTATGATGTTCACATGTCTTCTGAGACCAACATGAGTATCATGAACTGTTGTATTTTGAGTTAAAATAAAGTATGTTTCATTTGAACTAAAGTGTTAATTATTTTAGACTGTTCTACATCAACTAAATGATACTTCCTAAAGCATGTTTTAAGAGATTGAATGCCTTATCTACTCGGTCAATTAGTTTTGAGAGGCATAATTTCACACTTATTTACACTTGTAAAACACTGAAATTGTCCTGTTGGATTTCTCTGTGGTAGAGAACTATCATTGAATTACTTTTCATTATTTTGAACTGGAGCATGTGTGCTGAACCACATTATATTTCCTGAGATTGAAATCAAGGTTTAAGACAGTCAATGCCTGTGACTTTTGAAGGGTTGAGTCAATTAATGTTTTAGTAATCACTAAAGTCTAGTTATGAACAGCTATCGGATCAGGTTTTCTGTAGTTATTTTCAATAGCCTAGAGGATGACATCTGCTTTCACATCAATGTCATCTATTAGACTATTACTATATCGATGGATGTGTATACTTGGAGAAAGTTTTGAGCTTGAATAATTGCAATAGCTTCCAATATCGACATTGAGGTAACTAGAATAGGTTTGGTTGGGTTTAGAGGATTTATTTTTCTGAAATCTCTCATAACGGGGTGGTTCTATGTGATTACATAATTCATTTCTCTTATTTCTTAAAACTTATGCAGGTGACAGTGGAAAACCGAAGCTATCATAAGTCTTGTTTCAGGTGTTCTCACGGCGGATGTTCTCTAACTCCATCAAATTATGCAGCCCTAGACGGCATTTTATACTGTAAACCTCATTTTTCCCAGCTCTTCAAAGAAAAAGGCAGCTATAACCATTTAGTCAAGTCTGCATCAATGAAACACCCGACGGCCGCTGTTCCAGATTCTTGAACTCCACTCTTTAACTCAGATATCTCTGTGCATGGTGGTGCTTGTTTGCGTGGGTGTGTTTTCCTTCCGATTCTCTTTGATCTCAATCCGTACACTCGAATGTACTCATTCTTTTACAGTGTCTTGTTTTCCCTGAGGGAGAGGTGTTGGTTGTTCAATTTATGAGATGATGTCTTATTTCCAGCGGTGAAATTCAGCCCATGCACTTGTGAATTTCATCATTATCATTGATTAGTGTGCATTCTCTGATACAATGATTTACATGTAAATCTAAATTTTTTCTATATTTTTGTCACACATTTTTCAAATATTTATTATTCCAAAACATTTCTCCCAAAAAAAGGGGTTCAAACAGAGGCATTGCTTGATCTTTATTCATAAAGTGCTGCCTTGAGTTAGTTATAGGGTTGGACATGGTCTGGTTTGATTCTAGCAAGAATCAAATTGGACCCGAAATTTTTGGATATTTAGCAAGTGAAATTGGTGGGTCCAAATTTAATTATGGAACCGTTCAGGTTCGGTTCGGTCCGGTTTCATTCAATTTTTGGCAACTGTATTATAATTAAATTTTCTAATATTTATAAAGTTATATTAGTTCAACTAATAGCATATTCAATCTTAACTCTTATAAAATAATATAGTCAAATTTTATGTGTCTTTTACGTCTTTATTTACTAAGTTCTTTATAGATTTGATTGTTAAAATCACAAGAGGAAGATGGCAAGCTCATAAGAATTAAGATAGGCATTATTGAGCTTTAATTTGTTTTCTTTGGAATGATAAAAATGATACTACAGTGGAATAGCAGATTTGAGTGAAATTTAATTCAATTTGATTAATTCAGGATTAGATTGAAAATTAGAAATAAGAAAATCTTATTTTTGAGTTTGATTTTAAATTAAAAAAAAATAATTTGGCTTATTTAAAATAAATAAATTTAAAAAATTAGGGAAATTAGATTCTTCTGTTCGTGATCTAAAATTGAAAATCGAACTAAGTTCATCAATTCTAGATTCAAATATTCGTTTAGATATTTAATTTAAGAATAACCACTCGGCTTGATTCAATTCAGTTCGGGCCAAGATTCGAGAGTTATGTCCAGCTCTAAATAGTGATGTTGAATATTGTTTTCCAATAGGGCAACAGTTGATCTTTAAATTTCTTTATGAATAATCATGGCACTTTCAAATTATTTCCCGAAAATCAGGATATGGATCATTGAAATATTAGCAATTTTGTTTGTCACATCGTCAAATTCATTAACTTTTATATAGACTGAGACGACAAACTCTGTTTCGGTTATTTTTTTAATAAAAAATATTCAAATATAGTTAACAATTAATTTTAGACGCATTTTCAAGAATGTCCAATTTTAGGCGTGTGAATTGAAAAATTTCCTATTTTGATAATCTTGCAAAAATGTCCAATTTTCATATCAAAATGTCTATTTTACTCTCATGCAAAGATTAATCAATTTTATATCAATTTGACACAATTTTTAAAAAGAGCAAATAGCTTCTATGAGATTTGAGAAGCCATATTACCTAGGTGAGTCCGCTTGCCTACATTTTTAATTAGATTTTAATCAATTATTCTAGAACAAATGAAGAATAAATAGAAATTTCATTAACATATACAAAGAAATATATGATTTCAACTCCAAAGAAATCATTTTATTTCATGTGAAAAAATTTGTTGTCGTCGAAATTTGAAGTTGAATAGGCTCTCATCATTTCTCGGTCGAAGGTATTTTTTTTTGAACTCTCATTTTTTGTTTTGATAAGTTGTATTTAATAGTTATTGTTATATATGTTCAAATCTCATTTTTTGTTATAAGCTATTTTTTTCCCCTTCAATAAATGAAATTATTCAAACACTGAGTAGATATTTGTTGTACCATTTATCTTATATAATTTAGTTAGATAATATACTTCTATATTTAGAATATCATTTGTGGTGGAATAAATTATTACAAAAATAGTGGTTGAAGTTGAAGAAGATATAAATGCATGGAATCCCGTCATTTCATTCTCGACATTTTATAAATGTCGATAATGATAGTATAAATGTTGTTCTCGACATTTATAAACGGCGAGAATGATATTTATACTATAATTATCGACACTGTCAAATGTCGATAATAACATTAAAAACTTGACTAAGTTGGGGAAATTCCGTGTATAGCGTTTCACATATAGTATGCATGTAGCATCTTCGTTTTTTTATTTTCATTAGTGGCTGACATTATTGTTGTTTATGACATATAGCTAAGGGAGATGTTAAGAGATTTGTTGTCTTGTATGGTGGTAGATTCTTCAACATAGATGACGGGTGACCGTGAAAGTGGTCAGGAAACCAAACAACATCAATTGTTGTTCGACATAATATTACATATCAAGAGCTTGTACATAAATTATTCAAGAAGTTGAATGTTGACAGAATGAAGTTCTGAATTTAATTGAAATTTACAGTTCCGAACATGAATATACCCATTGCTGATGTAGCTGACGATGAGGATTTGTAATGGTTTATGTCTATTCACACAGAAGCAACGATGTGTGTAATTGCATATGAATATAATGCTGGAGAGCACGAACTGCATGTCGGAGTTGAGTCTTTCTCACCAATAGACGATGCATTGTGTGGACGCAATGAAGTCGGTATGTGCGAACTACAAGAGCCACAAACAATTGATAATACGGATGAAGGGTTAGGTGAAGGGAATTTGTTTATTCGAAATGCAATACAGTCGATTGATGAAGAGGACATTGTGGAAACTCAGATATTCTTTAGCAAGCAACAGTTACACACAAGGCTTTAACTTAAGGTTTTAAAAGAGAAGTTTCATTTCAAAGTTAAAAAGTCAAATCCTAGATCTCTTACTATGTGTTGTGTCGATACTACATGCCATTGACTAGTGCGAGCATCTAAGATAAAAATTTCAGAAATATTTAAGATTCGAGAGTACATACCTAAGTACACATGTTCTCTAGACGTTCGAAGAAATGCACAAATTTACGCAACGAGTGCAGTAATTGGGCATCACATAATGCGAAGGTTGGATGATGCAAACCAATCATACATTTCTGCGGGTATTATTAGGGATATGGAACATGAGTTTGGTGTACGGATTATCTACAACAAAGTGTAGAAGGCTAAAGAGAAGGGAGCTAGTGTTTGTGTCGGACAGGAAGAAGAGTATTACTTGGGCAATTACGAGATTGTTCCCGTTTTCTCACCACAGTGCCTGCATCTGGCATATCGAGAAAAATCTTATTACTAGGTATAGCAGTAGCAATGTTATATTCTTGTTCAAGTGGGCAGCGCTAGCATACCGCCTATCGAAATTTGATCAGTTCATAACACAAATAAGAACAATTCGACCATCAATGACATCTTACTTGGAACGTGTCGGTGTATCCACTGGTCACGGACAAATTTTGTTGGTAATCAATACAACGTTATGACGAATAACATTGCGGAATCACTAAATTCAGTCCTAAGACGACAACGAAGTTTCCCTATAATTTGTTGGTCGAAAATATTACGTCATTATGCAATGATGGTTTTACGAGAGAAAAAGTGCATCCACCAAATGTAGTATGACCGTGACACCAAAAATTGATGATGAATTGAGAAAATCATTCGACGTCGGTGCAACCTGACCAGTACGAAATTTGGACAAACTCCTTTTTGAGGTGGGTGTAGTTACCGAATTTCGTATTGTCGACCTTATAGGTAACACATGTTCATGTCGAGAGTTTCAGATGCGACAAATCTCATGTTCACATGCATCCGGAGTTGCTTGTGCAAAAGGGAAATCATTGTATGACTTGTGCTCCCCTTATTACACCACAGAATGTTGACGAGCTGCATACAACGAAGTTCTTCACCTCATTGGCAGAGAGTCAGATTGGGTTGTTCCTCAGCCTATTCGTTCCGTCGAAGTTTTTTCCCCAAATATATGTAGAGCACCGGTCGACCTCCTACCCAACGTCAACAGTCAATAACTGAAAGGTTGACTTTGACACGAAAATGCGGCCGATGTGGGGGTTCTGGACATAACAGGCAAACATGTCAGAATTTAATACTTTTAAGTGACACGTATACTTGAATGACATTGTGTATTCCGATCATCAAATGCCCTAATAACATGTATTATCAATGTTTTGAATATATTTTTGTGTATTACCTGCTTTCTATTTTAGTTGTTCATCTCATGTTTTAAATGTTGTTGAATATATTTTTGACTTTTACTTCTTCCTGTTTCTATCTTCGTTCTCTCTTCATAGCACTTATTTGCAATGGCTTATTTTACAATTCATTTTCAACCCTTCATACGGATTCATCCCATTTTTTGTGATTTTTTTCATATATAACCCTTGTCGTTCAAAATTTTATAGCGCACGAATATGAAGATTTGTATGGGCATTTCATTAAGTACAAACAAAACTTAATTTTAGAATGTCATAATAGATACAAACAAGAAAGCCCAGGTTTGGGGTATAACTAAAAACAAGGGAAATGGTGATCACATATATTCTTATGAGCATTTCATTACAATATCATTTCGTTCATAATATAAGTGAACAATCATATATCTAATTCATCACTGAGATTTTCTTAATCATTGTAAACATAATGTGGTAATAGATACAAAAGCAACTCATGAATGACTCGTTCTCCTAAGTCATTGGAACAGACAAAATGGTAGTCACAACAAAAGGAAGCCATAATTCTAATGCATGTCGTAGACGACTATTATACAAAATGGTGATCACCCCAAAAAATATCCATCACCTATATAGATTTTATAGCACTAGTATATGTACGTAAATATTTCACTTACGATGATCGCATCTTCTACATATCCTCCACCACGGATAAAGAGGACATATCACTTTCATACTCCTCGTCGGAGCTTATGATGATCGCGTCTTCATTTTTGGAGGGAACTGCTCCAACATTTTCATTCAATAACACACAATGTGCTTCCGATTGGACCTCTAGTGGGACGATCTCATGATGAACTTGAATTGGTTCAATTTCGTCGATTAGATTCGAAAAATGAATGGGTTGAAGGAAAATCCTCCGATGGCGGTTCGAAAGTTGACGAACATATGAAACAAAGGCATTGATTTCATCATCCGAGATCGAGTCTATGATGATCGAGTTGTCCGCGGACGACCTGGGAGGGTCAAAAGTGATAGTAACATCAATATAA